GAATGGAGAGCAAAAAAAAATGGGTGGCTCAAATTCGAAAGCCGCGCCAGCATTGACTTACATTTAGGATTTGGGTTGGGGTTAAGATCAGAACGGGGAATAGGATCAAAATAATGTTATGGGTTTGTATTAACTGCAGGTTAGTAAAAGAGGAATATTTGCTCTCCCTTAAATGTGTCGCAGAACCACATATTTTAAGTGGGCGGAACGTTCCTATTCACGTACCCTATTTAGACGGCTATTTAAGCCACCTTTACCGAACCAAACAATCACGTCCAATCAGTCACTGGCAGGGACATGACACCGTGGGAACTTGCGCGATTCAACCTTTCTCTTTCTCGTAACCTTTCGATGGCAAGGCTGCATCAAGGTCACTGACTGCAAAATTGGTCGCGGTGGCTGGCCTCATCTACACGCGCCACAACACAACTGCTACCATAAACCAGATCATACCCTTCTGAATTACAATAAATATAGACATCAATGTTCCACCACCTAAGTTGATCATTTGGTCTGAAATGCCGTAACGCTCAGAGTACTTTTTTGCCAATCGTACAGTGTGAGAATACGCCAGACACGTCAGATTATGGATCAAATTGCCTCCATGACCACCCCAGTTTCTATTTTCAAGGGGTTTGCATGAAACAGGAAGGCACACCTCAACAGCGTCCTCATGTAGCAAAAATTAATCTCGAAGCACACGTAGATGAAGGCTTACCATTGCGTTGATAACCTTGACAGCGCGGCCAAAGTTGGTAGCCTGAAACCCGGTGGTGGCGTAGGACAACAGCAGGGCTTCATAGTCGACGCCCTTGTTGAAGTCGTAGCCTTTGACTGTTTCACTGACACCCTCGGGCAACGACTTGCTGGGTTTCAGAACCGCCTCCACGAAGCCCGGGGGCCGTGCTCTGTCATCCTTGGAGTCACCGGCAGCTGACATCTACAAAACCACGGCGTCATTTAAGAGCATGCTCAACTGGTTAAATTGAAAAGTAAAAAAATGGCGCCGAAGGCAGGAGGGACTTCTTTAAACACGGACAAAAGTATGTTCAGCTTAACGATTAAACTTGGCCGCTCTTGAGGATAGGAGTTTGGAGGCAGATGTAGCCGCTGGGACAAAAAGGTGTACTCGTCGGGTTCCGCCGCGAGTGCAGGAATAAACCATATGCTCCAGACCTACTTGGAAACATTTAATGTTTACCTGCCCTGACTACTAGCCGTTGTGCGGTTGAGACCCCAGGGTAGAACGGGACAAGCTAGGTCCATTAGCGATCTGTGGGCGGTTATCAACGAAGATGCAATGTGTTAGAGCACCGAACTATCCACAGTCATGTACGAGGGCCATTCACCAAATTGAGCTGCCTGACTCATTGCTCATCGTCCTATGAGCGATCACGACGTCGGTACGTACAGTAAAATCAAACCGGTGAGCGTCGTCATCCCGGTTTTTTAGACTCAACTAGACGAAAAAAACGTTTTAGGCGGCGATGGGGTGACCTGTTATCGGACTCCGTTAGTTTACACAGTTTTCGCACGCACATTTAGGGGCATTTGGGACACGATCGGGGGGAGGTGTTTTACAAAAAGTGGGCAAAAGCAGATTATGTAGGCCCACTCATGGACAAATAGTACAGGCAGAGAAGGAAATTTGTAGAAGTAAATGCAAAGTGAAAAAAAATGTAGTCGAAGTTGCTTCCCGCGGATGTTCGGAGTAAGTTGTTCCGCATGTAAACTGAAGGCGTGCGCGGCGCTTCGCGTCGCGGACTATACTAATCGAACTCCAGAACGGTAAGTTGGACTTCAAGCAAGTTGAAGTAGACGACCTCCTAAGCACCATTTTTATTTTTTCGAGGCATTTCAAGAAACCTACAATTTCATAATCGGGTTTTTCCGCAAAAAGTTAAACGATAATACAGATTAGGAAAATCTACATATATAAATCAACACTTATAAATACAATAAAAACGCATTTAGCATTTATTAAAGTATATTCCACTGCGTGTCCTAAT